ACTGTTATAAAGCTTTGTTGATAATTGCAAACTTCCCTGTTCAGAACACGGATTTCAAAAGAATATACATATTGCAATATAATTGAACAGGGACAGAACAAATTAAATGCAGGACCCTTTGGGGTTGAAGCTTCAATACATTGAATGAGCAAATCCACATCTTCCCTCAGAGACACTTCCTTTTTAAGTGTCCAGATATTGATTGATGCTTTACTACGTTGTAAGACTATAGAACAAAAATGGTTCACTTTAATGGCCTTGTATTTTGTACAATAGTGTGGTGTTGCGTTGCAATCATTTTGTTGTGTACAATACAAATCCTACTACAACTTTATATTTATATAGCGCTTTTAACTTTGGGAGGGTGTCCCAGTTTCCTGGAGAGGCCAAGGATTACATCTGAGTTTGGGATAGGTGTCTGAGGGGTTGGGAGGCCTAAGAGATGGTGGAAGAGGGTAAAGATGGCCAAAAGTGACGTCAAAGAGGAAGGACTTGATTCAGACTTGAAGGAGGCGAAGGAAGAGCCTTTATTGGGATGGAAAGCGGAAAATGGAGGGAGGGAGTTGCAGAAACAACAACAACAACAAGATTCCATTTATAAAGCGCCTTTCACGTCAGGAGGACGTCCCAAGGCGCTGCACAGTTGGGTCATGACCCGAGCAGGGGGGAAATAGTCAGGGTGAGGGGAGGGAAGGGAGGGAGCGAGGAGGGGGAAATGGTCAGGGTGAGGGGAGGGAGGGAGCGAGAAGGGGGAAATGGTCAGGGTGAGGGGAGGGAGGGAGCGAGAAGGGGTAGAGAGTCGAGAGGGGAGCTGAAGGCTCGGTCAAAGAGAAAGGTTTTGAGACCGGCCTTGAAGGAGGAGAGGGAGGAAGCGGCGAAGGCACTGGGGGATAGAGTTCCAGAGCCTCGGGGCTGAGAGGCTGAAGGCCCGACCACCGATGGTAGGGCGATTGTGGCGGGGGACGTGGAGCAGACCGGAGCCGGAGGAACGGAGAGTACGGGCAGGTAGGTAGGGGGATAGTAGGTTGGAGAGGTAGGAGGGAGCGAGGCCGTGAATGGCCATGTAGGTGAGGATGAGAAAGAGCGTAGGCAGATTCTCTGAATGGAGTATCCCATAGAGTAATTGTCTCTTGCAGAGAAGCCAACAAGACACGGAGGGCCGAATAGCCTTCTTCTGTGCTGTAGTTTTATGTTGTTATAGAATCACAGAATGTTATAGCTCAGAGCTGTTCGGCTCACTAGGTTTGTGCTGGTGATTTTCTCCCCATGAGCCACCTGTTTAATCCACTCTCCAGCTCGCGCTTAGTATCCTTTAACATTAACAAATAATAATAATTTGGTCAATCAATCCACAACTTTTTGTGGGACACTGATGTGCGCAATTGGTTGCCATGTTTCACCCACAAAATATACAGTCAATTCACTTTGAAGTGCTTTGAGACATCTAGAAGGCATGATAAGGTGCTACATCAAATGCAAGGATTCTTATTATTTTATTTTCATCCTCTTCAAGTATGAGAAGCTCTCTGAGTGTATTGTAGTCAGTACTCTAGGTCATTTTAGGTACTGAATTCATTCAGCAAAGATTTTAACAAAGCATGAATCAAACTGAGTGTTGCACACTGAATGATTAACGATACTGAACCAAAGAAAGCAGACATGTGTAGGGGAATATGAGAGAGTCAGAGATTTGCGTGGAATATAATCACCGGCACAGACTACTTGGGTCGAATGACTTGTTTCTATGCTGTTGCATTAAATTACAATAAACCCTGTGAGTTTTTTCAGATGATTTAAGATGCAGAATTGAACAGCGCAATAATTGAGACTGAATTTTGCTGTGAGGGATGATCATTGGTGAATTAACTTCAATAATTATTATGATAATAATATTAATTCTTGCATCGTCGAGACGTCTTGAAGTGCTTCACAGGATATACTGTAAACAGTGTATTTTGTGGGCAAAAGTGGCAGCCAGTTTGTGCACAGCATTGTCCCACAAACAGCCATGGAGTGACTGATTTTATTTGGGGGATTGTTGGCCAGAACACCGGGAGAGAGAAACTCCCTCCTCTTTTCGAATGTTGCCATGGGATCTTTAACATCCACCTGAACAGCAAGAAGGGACCTCGGTTTAACGTCTCATCCAAAAGACGACACCTCCGACAATACAGCGGTCCTCTAACACTGCACGGAAATGTCAGCCCAGGCTGCGATTTCAAAATCCCGATGTGGGGCTTGAACCCACAACCTTCCAACTAGGAGGCCAGAGTGCTACCAACTGAGGCAGGCTGACACCTGACATCTTGCGAGACTGCAATGGGGTACAAGTCACCTTGATCACGGTAGGTAATAGGCTCCTGTATATTGTTCTAGCATTACACTTGTCAACAGGAAACATGGCTCAGTGCAAGCATTACGGAAAATCAACATTATTAAATGCTTGGCAGGGCTAGACACAAAGCAAACACAGCTGCTGCATTTGGAAACCTGCACTTATTATGCCAGAGCAGAGAGGGGTCTCATAAAAGAAACAAAACACGTTTCATTGATGCTACAATTTAAACTGAGAGAACTTGCTCTTTTTTGTGCTCAGTGAGGGAGCTTGTCTCTTTTGGATCTGCAACCCTGTAAATGGAAAATGATATTGTATTTTCCACTCAGATGTATTCCAACACTATTGGATGCAGTAAAATAATAATTTGTGTTTTTGATACAGCGTATCATCCTTCACGAGTAATAATGTCTCAGAGTTCCTCAACGCATCAGGAGGGAAGGTATCTCAAACCAATTCACTGTAAAATATACTTTTCCTGTGGATTTTGTAGGCAAACGCGGAAGTCAGAAACAGCCATGAAGTGAATGATCAATGTTGATCAAAGCAAGATCTCAACTTGATTAGTTCGACTTGAGATACAGATCAGCCATGATCTTAGAGAATGGCGGAACAGGCTTGAGGGGCTGAATGGCCTCCTCCTGTTTCTGTGTTTCTATGTCTCCCTCTATGTCTATGTCTCAATGCTTGTTTTGATGTCTCATCCAGCCTTCAACAATGCAGCACAATATAACCCCACTCCCAGCACTTCATTGGAATATCAACCAAAGAGGTCCTAGTCCCCATGTGGAGCTTGAACCCACAGCCTTCTTGACTCAGAGGTTGAAGTCAAAGCACATCAGTTAAATGGAGTCAAACTTAGGGTTTAAAAGCTTGTGGATTGTAAGAGGAAAACCAATGGAGGTACAGATTCCATGGGAAAGAGTGAGTTAAGAGTAGAAAACATTGTCATGAATTTTGATTCAGGTTAAGCCCACCCTTCCCTCCTAAATGAATTGTGTCTGCCTCAGATCTGGTGCCAGTGACCCTACAAACTGAACCCTAATCCTACAGGGATTTTCACATTTTGTTTTTCCTTATTAAGGAATCATATTAAGAATAACCGCAAATTAGATCCTATAGAATCAAGCTCTCCCAGTTAAAGAATAGCACAGTTGGAATGAAGACTATGGTTCTCTCTACATTGAGCCTTCATCATCATTGTAGCCACATTTTCACACACCAGCCTCTGTTTGTTGTGGTCTACCTGAATGGGACTTCCAACAGAGTGTCTATCAGGACTAAGCTGTGGAGTCCTGTAGCGTATTGGTTAGAGCACTCGCTTTGCAAGCAAGTGACCTGAGTTCGATTCCCTGTCAGAGCGAAACGTTAGGCACATTTCCTTACTCCACACGGTAAGTGAGAGCCCAGTTGTTCCTAAAAACAGCAATGAGACAAATCAAGATTGTGTGATGTTGAACAAGGGAAACAGATTGGCCAGGTCACTGGGAGCACTCTTTTTTATGCGTAGTTTCCCATCCAACTTACCATACCTCCCAGGCAATTAAGGCTTCAAATATGCCCACAAAATACACAGTCACACATCATTTTATCCTGTGAAGCAGTTTCAGACATTTCGACATTGGTTAATTCCTATATCAAATACAAGGATTATTATTATTAATGTATTGAACCTATGTACTGGATTTATTTACTGCTTTGAGACTTTTTTTTAGAAAGAGAACGCAAAACAACTCTATTTCAACGGTAATGTGGTTGCTGTACATTACAGAAATCTGGGTGATTTGTGATGGGGTATGTGTGTGTCAGCGGAAAGGTGTGGATGATTTGTGACACGTTCTGTGTGATATGTATCAGAGAGACACGGTTGATTTGGAGTGACTGTTCGGGAGACTATTGTAAATAAAGTATTTGTCTCTGCTTCTTCCTGCTGTCAACTCCATTTGAGTTCTTTTCAGATCCACCAACGCCAAAACTGACTGATTTATAATAACAATCCTTAGCATTTGATGTGCACGTCAGGAGGACGTCTCAAATCGCTTCACAAGATTTAGTGTGGAGTGTAGTGACTGTGTATTTATGCAGACAAACGTGGCAGTTGACTTACACACAGAAATACCCTACAAACGGCCATGAAGTGAAGGACCAATTTTATTTGGAGTTTGGGTTGTGGGGGAAAGTTGGCCAGGACACCAGGAGAAAATCCTCTCTCGGTTCAAGGAGTGCTGTGGGATTTTTAGTGTTCACCAGACCCAGGTTAAACAGAAGCTCTACAGTAGTAATAAAAATAATCCTTGCATTTCATATGTGCCTTATCATGTTGTTGAGACATCTCAAAATGCTTCACAGAATACACTGTAAAGTGGAGTGACTGTATTTTGTGGCCAATTATGCACAGTGGTGTCCCACAAACAGTCGTAGATTGAGTGACCAAATTATTATTATTTAATTTTTTTGAAGGGATTATTATTATTACCCGGGAAGCAATCCGCTAATCAACTAACAACCGGGTTCCTACTTACTGCTAAGTAAACAGAGGCGTGTGAAGTAAGGAAACTTGTCTTAGCCCCACCTGTGAATTGAACCCAGGTCCTCTCGCTTGCGAGTGAGTGTTCTAAACGTTAAGCTACAGTACTCTATGTGGTGGTGAAGAAAGTAGGCTTACCTCTTCCCATTGATGAATGTATCGAATGAGACGTGATAGCCTCAGCAAACGGAGAAGGCTGAGGATTTTGGTGAACCTGACGATCCTCAAAGCCCTGGCCGTCTTGTACACCTCAGAGTCGATCCTCGTCTCCACGATTAGAAAAATGTAGTCCACGGGAATGGAGGATATAAAGTCCACCACAAACCAACTCTTCAGATATTTCATCTTGATCTTCTGTGGGTCTAGGATGATCTCGGTGTTGTCCTCAACCACAATCCCAGTTCTGAAATTTAGCACCAGATCAACCAGAAAGAAAGTGTCCGACACCACGTTGAAGACAATCCAGGGGGTGGTGTTTTCGTCCTTGAAGAATGTGATCCCTACAGGGATGATGATGAGGTTCCCCACCATGAGGAGGAGCATGGTCAGATCCCAGTAGAACCTGCAGGGGAGGAATGCAGACACTCAATTCAAACGCCAACCTCGTCAAAACCCATGGCACTTAAAATCATTGCTGTCATATTCCATGCACCATTAACTTGATTTCTTTCCCGGAGATTCATTTATCTGTCTACTGAACACAGTGGAGTAGTAAGGATCCACTCAACACTTTTCTCCCCTTTCCTTCTCACCTGAAGGCATTTTTAGAGTCGGAAAATATGTTTCAGCCACAGAATATACAGGCAATTCACTTTACAGTAGAAATCTGTGCAGCGCTTGGAGATGTCTCAACAACTGATGAGGCGCTACATCAGAAATTCCTTCTCATCTAAAAGTGTGAGACAATCGTTTTTTTTACACAATACAAGATAAGCTAACACAGAAGCTTTCACATCAGGAGTCCAAAATACACCTACAAAACACACCGCCATTACACTACATTAGCGAAGAGCTTTGATAGGTCATCCAGACATGAAAGACAGTGTATTGAGTACTAGGACTATTATTAAAATCTTAGCTCAAAGACAAAATTGTTTCGAGAGTGAAGTAGGACTTCTGGAGTCTGACATCTAACAGGATAAGTGTCATGCTTGGGGAAGCTGGATGATTTTCATCCTGCGTAACCTGAGCCTCAATTGCAGTTCTCCCCAATTATTTGAGAGCAACCAAGTGAGCACACAATCCAGGGCTTAAAGTCGGGAGTTGCCACATCACAGCGGCTCGCTGAGTAAACTTGCTGAGCCATCGGAAAGCTCGCGTGAGAGGTTCTAACGGGAAACACGGATATTCCTGGAACCCACCACAAAACGGGTGACTCTCCGCAATAACACGTTCCGAGGAAAATTATGCAAACAAGCTGCTACGTCTATTTATAGTTTTAACAAATTGCACCAATTTGACACAACAAAATCTTTCAACCGCTTAGGTAGACCAGCCAACTCCGAGCGCATTTCTCTGCATTCCCATTATCAAATGAAAGATTTGCAATTAATTAGTCAAATCGCCTCAAAGCAGCCTCTCTGTCGGGTGCAACAAGACCCGACTTTCATTTGAATAATTTCTGAAAAGCAATTGTGAGGGTTTATCCACCGAAAAAAACCTCGGAGGCCAGAGAGAATTGTAGCTTTCCTTCACTTCAAATCACACATTATAGAAACAGGTCATTTGTTCCTGTTGCCTCGCCAATGTGTTCAGTAGCGCTCTCCCTGATTTGAACTCCAGCTATGAGTTTTGTACAGCGGGAATTTTCTCCTGAATCTAAGTGATGTTGTCAGCCTGACTTAGTTGGTAGCACTCTTGTCTCTTGAGTCTTGATGTTTGTGGTTCAAGGACTTTTCCTTGAACCTATCGGTTTTCTATCCCACCCACCCACCCACCCACCCTTCCTTCCTTCCTTCCTTCCTTCCTTCCTTCCTTCCTTCCTACCTACCTATCGGCCGCATTCATAACGGTCGACCACTCTATCCTCCTCCACCGCTTGTCCTCCCACCTCAACCTTCAAGGCTCTGTCCTTGAGTGGTTTAGGTCCTACCTCTCCCACCATCTTCATTTTGTTTCCACTAACGGCTTTTCCTCCAGCCCCCGCACTGTCTCGTGCGGTGTCCCTCAGGGCTCTGTCCTCGGTCCCCTCCTCTTCACCCTCTATATGCTCCCCCTTGGTGACATCATCCACAGATATAGGGTTAACTTCCACATGTATGCGGATGACACCCAACTCTACCTTTCCTCCTCTACATTCAACTCCACGACCCCCGATGTCCTGACAGCTGCCTGTCCGACATCGAGTCCTGGACGAGAGACAACTTTCTTTAGCTCAATGTGCACAAAACTGAGGCCCTCCTTATTGGCTCACGTCAGCGCCTCCGCACCTCTGGCGATGATAGTCAGCATCCAAGGCTGCACTCTCCACCTCTCAAAGCCAGTCAGGAACCTCGGTGTTCTGTTCGACCCTGAGCTGTCCTTTCTTCCTCATATCCCTGCCACAACTGGCACCGCCTTCCATCACTTCCGGAATATCGCCAGACTACGGCACTACCTCACCCCTCACGCTGCTGAAACACTGGTCCACACCTTTATCACCTCAAGGCTGGACTATGGGAACTCTCTCCTCGCCGGCCTTCCCGGCCCTCCCTCCACACTGCAGGTCATTCAGAACTCTGCAGCTCATGTACTGTCCCGCACCAGGCTTCGCGAACACATCACTCCACCCTCACTCGCCTCCACTGCTCCCCATCCCCCAGAGGATCGAATTCAAGATCCTCATCTTCATACAAGGCCATTCACGGCCTCGCTCCCTCCTACCTCTCCGACCTACTATCTCTCTACCTACCTGCCCGTACCCTCCGTTCCTCCGGCTCCGGTCTGCTCCACACCCCCTGCCCCAACCGCCCTACCATCGGTGGCCGGGCCTTCAGCCTCTCAGCCCCGAGGCTCTGGAACTCCATCCCCCAGTGCCTTCGCCACTTCCTCCCTTTCCTCCTTCAAGGCGGGTCTCAAGACCTTTCTCTTCAAACGTGCCTTCACCTCCTCTCTCGACTCTCTACCCCTTCCTCGCACCCTGCCTTCCCTCCCCTCACCCTGACCATTTCCCCCCTGCTCGGGTCCCGACCCAACTGTCCAGCGCCTTGGGACGTTCTCCTGACGTGAAAAGCGCTCTATAAATGCAATCTTGTTGTTGTTGTTGTTTTCATCTGTAGTCCTGTCTGCCTGTTCAGATGGATGCTAAAGATCCCATGGCGCTATTTGAAAACATAAGGGAATTTCTCTCTCTCGGTGTCCTGGCCAACAAGCCCCCAAATAAAATGGACTCTTTTCAATTCTGGAAGACGGACACCTCAAAGAGCTTCACAGCAATTTCTGTGAAGTGAAACGACTGTGTATTTTGGTATTTTGAACCCCAGAGCCAATTTTGTTCACTGTAATGTCCCAAAACTCGCCATGAAGTGAATAATGATAATAATCCTTGTATTTGATATGGCACCTTATCATATCTTCGAGACATCTTGAAGTGCGCTTCATAGAATATACTGTAAAGTGAATTAACAGTAGTTTTTGTGGGCAAAACGCGGCAGCTAATTAAAGCAGTGTCCCCCATAATAATAATAATCCTTGCATTTGATATAGCGCTTTTCACGTCGGGAGGACGTCTTGGATTGAGCAACCAAATTATTTATTTATGGAGTCCTGTAGCTCAGTGGTTAGAGCACTCGCTTTGTAAGTGAGAGACCTGAGATCAATTCCAGGCAGAGGGCGAAACCTTGGGCAAGTTTCCTTACTCCACACACCTAATAATAATCCCTCCAAAACCAAAAACAATAATAAATTGATCATTTTCAATCTACGACTGTTTGTGGGACATTGCTGTGCGCAATTGGCTGCCGCGTTCGCCCACAAATATACAGTCAATTCACTTTACAGTGTGTTCTGTGAAGCGCTTTGGGACGTCCTCCCGACGTGAAAAGCGCTATATCAAATGCAAGGATTATTATTATTTATTTTTTGGAGGGATTATTACCCTTGAAAGCGATTCTGCTAATTGACTAACCACCTGGTTCCTACTTACTGTTAGGTAAACAGAGGCGTGTGGAGTAAGGAAAATTGCATAAGGTTTAGTCCTGCCCAGGCTTGCGAGGCGAGAGGGCAAACCACTACTCTACGTGTCTCCGCACATAGATGGTCTTAAAGTTTTACTATCTTGGAGAGACCTGGGAAACTCTTGAACAGAATCTGAATATGGAAACCAGGATTGCGCAGAAGATTAGTTTGCACATCAATCTCGAGAGTTTTCCAAACTTCTGACCAATTGGAAGTTTTTAAGTGTACGAAAAATCACTGTGTCATTCTCACACTGTCTGCCACCAAATGTGACTCCATCCGCAGGTCATCGGAGCCAGTTTAGATGATTAACTTGTTTGTTTTCTTACTCCGACACCTCGCCAGCATGTGGGTTAAATAGAGCAGATGGTTTGGTGGCGGTTGCGTACACAAATAATCCAACTTGCAACGCTTGGAAACAAGTGCCTAGGATACCACTTGGTGGGTTACTGTTTCAAGTACAACTGCACCCTGTTGTTTAATTAACACTTATCTGGAATGGTTTGTAATCCTCTATTGAAATCTGCAAAGGAAAGCTAAACGTAGGCAGTCTGGAGCTTGAATTGCTTTCATTATCTCGATGTACAACTTGCCAGCGCTGTATTCATTTCCTAGTAATCAGCGGTTGGTATATTGCTCAGGCAGCGAGCTCACTGTGCATTGTCCCACAATTGTTTATCCTTCAGTCTGGGCCCATCACGCATCAATCAGAGAAGTCTCCTGGCCAACAATACCCACACCGAGGACAGCTGTCAACTCAATAAGTGAATAATACCATCCCTGTGAAGCTACAAATAGCTGTATTAGCTCCACTTCACCGGTGGAAGGAAAGGGGGGGCGAGGGAATCTGATGGGTGGCTACAAGCTGTCAGTTTAGTTTGGCTCAGTTGGAAGCTGTCTCGTCTCGAGGTCAGAAGGCTGTCGTTCCAAGCCTCATGTCGTGACTTGAGTTTCCTAACCTAGGCTCACACTGCAATGATTCTCAACCCACCACACTGTGTTAAGTAACTCCCTTGTTCTCCGCTGCCAACAATTCAGTACACCAATGACGGGGAATTGGATAGGTGAAAGGAAAAAAAATTGCAAGGATATGGGGAAAGAACAGGGGAGTGGGACTGATTGGATAGCTCTTCCAAGGCTCAATGAGCCGAAATTCCTCCTTCCTGTGCTGTAGGATTCTATAAATCCCTTTTAATACTTGCTGCTCTTCTTTCATTGATTCCCAGTTAATTGTCTATTTACTCTTGAAGGATTATCCAACAGAATCAAGCACCTTTCCTGGCAACCTCTTCCATCATTGATTACCCGTTGTGTAAAGAAAAACTTCCTGATGTCTGGTCTGAAATTCCCCTTTACAACTCTAAAGCTGTGTCTTCTTTTTCCACTGTCGCGATACATCCTAAAGTA